CTGACTTTACATCTCACAATCCTGACTTTACATCTCACAATTATAACTTTACATCAATCAATTCTAATCAATTTTGACTTTACATCTCACAATTCTGACTTTACATCAGTTGTGTTTGTATTAACTAATGTTAAAAAATATAATTAAGTACTATAACAGATGTATTGCTCATTGTTAATTAATGCATTAATGCGACTAATGGGAGCTTACTGTAAAGTGTTACCCTTTCATCATATGCCAAAGTAAATTTGTTTTCTATTTTTAATGAGTTTGCAATCAATTCTAATCAATTTTGACTTTACATCTCACAATTCTGACTTTACATCAGTTGTGTTTGTATTAACTAAAGTTAAAAAATATAATTAAGTACTATAACAGATGTATTGCTCATTGTTAATTAATGCATTAATGCAGAGAGCTTACTGTAAAGTGTTACCCTTTCATCATATGCCAAAGTAAATTTTTTTTCTATTTTTAATGAGTTTACACATTTTTCAGCCGCTAAAACTTCACACAGAGATGAACAAACATGTGTTTAGGATGCATTTACGGTCCTGAAACAGTTTGGTGTGTTGGTAAATGCTGAAGCAATGTAACTGCAGCTGTAGACGAGCCTGAGAGGGAATTTCACCGTTTCACACACTGAAGAAAAGAAAGAGCCTTTATGAAGGGAATCCCACTGAGCACTGAGCTGCGGCTGAATGCCAGAGGAGTGTGTGTGTGTGTGTCTTTACAGCTGGAGTTCCCAAACTTTTTTTGTCATTGGAACCCTGTGACCTAAATTGTTTTGCTTGAAATACCCCTGATTTTTAAAGAAATGTTTACCTTTCAAAATATAATGGTATGTAATGGCATTGCATTCACATTGAAGCTTATTTCTGCCATGGGATAAAAATATAAAAAAAGGCAAGTACATTTTTGTCTGAAAATTATGACCTTTTTCTTGTAATTCCGAGTTTTTTTTCTCTGAATTCTGAGTTAACATCTAAAAAAAAAAAATTATAATTTTTTTTAAATAAAAAATAATATTAATAAAAAAAGCAGTGGAATAAAAAATTAAAAAAGGTCATTTCAACTCGTTTCAACAAGTTTATCTCACACCGCTTATATATAAAGTTATATTTGCACGTTTATATCTTGCAATTCTGACTTTGTTTTAGTTTTAGTGTAGTTGTTTTAGTTCACTGTTTTTGTTCATTTAGTTCATCACAGTTGCCCTATTTTTTTATTGAACTGTTACTGTAAATGAAGACTTTCTTTTTATTACTGCAGTATTTTTCTGTAAAGCTGCTTTGAAATTATGCACATCGTGAAAAGTGCTATATAAATAATATTGACTATATAAATGATAATGAGTGCGATTGATGTCAGAGCTCCTGTAGTTCATGTCAGCAACAACACCAGAGTCACGGGTTTGATGCTCAGAGAATGCGTGAACTTATATACGCTTTTAATGCAATGCAAGTCTTTTTGGATAAAAGCATCTGGCAGATGCATTAATGTAAATGCAATGAGTTACGACTCTGAACACTGCTCTTGCTCTTGACAATGAGCGTGAGCGAGATGAAATACTGCAGGGAATCCCACCAGAAAACACAACAGCAGGACTTTCCAATGATAGCTCAAACTGAGCTCCCGCTAACATATTTATAAAAGCAATAAAGGTGCAAATCTCATGTGCTTCACAGAGGGACATGAAAAGTAGCTTGGAAACATCATTTAAAATAATACCATGTTAATACCATGTTTTTGGAGTATGCATGTTTGCAAGGCAAATTAATTTTTATAGCACATTTTATACATTTGCTTTTAAACACATCAAATATATTCAAATTTAAATCAGCTATCAATATCATATATTTCATGTAATCAA